ATTAGCTGTTATCCCTATAAAACAGACTTTTTTCCCCCGAGATTCTTTTTCTTACCATCAAGCTCAAAAACTACTGTTTAAAACTTAATCAAATATTTCGTTTAAAGACACGTAAGTTGTAAAAATAAATATTAGGCATGTTAAAAATGAATACTGAACAGTTCGATTGTAATGGATCTTTTGTGAGGGACATAAATCACTCAAATTATATTGACCAGTGGTTTGTATTGTATTGTGAGAGTTTTGACCCAACAACTTCTGCTCTAATCATTATAATACGATAACGTGATAAAAAGAAAATAAAGTATATTATTAAGTAAAAAAAAAAACAACGAGGACAATAAAATAAATGTAGAAATAATTTTTAAATACTAAAATTTATAGCATTGCAATAAAACCCTATCGTCATTTTTACTGAATTGGAGAATTGGACATAATAATAGTTATACTCAATTAAATTAAATTAATCGCATTTTAACAAAATTATTTAGGATTACAGATGACGTATTTCATAATAAAGACCTTACACGTCTTATCATTGGATATTTCATCTAATTTGTATTTTTTTTTTTTTAATACCTTCAAATTAGGAAAACTATGGATGAGCAAATGTAAAATGTAATAATAATAATAGCAATAGTAATAATAATAATAGCAATTTATTTTCAAAGTTGTGTTTATTCGAGAAGTTCCCTTTATAACAGAACGCTGTGTCATTATTTACGAACATGACGCACTATATACCTCCTTCGTGTATTGTTACGAAATTATATTGTTATAATAGCATTGATAATTATTAGGAACCGGGGGTGAATCAAATGACAAATGAGCCAAGGTTTTAGTGAGTTTGGAATGGGCTTAAACACGTCGAGAAGATTTTATAGTAAATAAACCTGCACAAGGTGATTCAAATTATACGACTAAAATATTATTATTGTGCAGGTACACGTGAAAGTATTTTGTTCAAAGTATTAATATATATTCCATCAAATAGAAATGAACTTGGTAGTTTGATCCAAGACTGTAGGTATTAATTCAATAGGACATATAAATATAATATTATAATCGTTGGTTACCGATATTCTTCGTCCTAKTTTTAAAAATAATTACATTATATCATATACTTTAAACCCATTTTGATTTATATTAGGTACTATACAATTACGTATAAATATCTTCTACCTATTATTATCTATCTATATGATAAGTATTTGATGAAATTTKTAATTATAAAAAAAATGTACAAAAGCTGCAGTGTGGTAAAATCTAAAAAAATCAATGTCCGTATCGTAGACGACGGATAAAAGATATTACAGTAATATCATCTCGTTATCCCAAAACTGGTGGGAACAGATAAAAGATCGAGGTATAAAAAAATTCAAGATATTATCGAGTATTACTGTAATGGTAATTATTGCCAAGGGATTTCAATTGYGTACGAGACTAGGTTTTGGACGTAATACAGAGTGTAGCAAAAGTGGGTTCCTCAATTCACACAACAAAGAAATTGCACCAAAAACAATATGTATATTGTGTATAGATTTATTATATATTATAGATTTTAGAAAATAAGTAGTTTTTTGATAACAAGACAGCGAGATTCGACTTGTGCCGCTCCCTGTATTATAAAACTAGTAGACATGTGAGTTACCTTGGCCGTGTAAGGTCAACATTTTGACTAGTGAACATTTTTTGATGTTACGTAACATTTTGTACCAGAAGCTTTTTGTGACCATACTGGTATAACTATAATACGTATACCTCAAAAAACCATGTTTAAGTTTCTGGTTTCAGGTGGTTAACGTTACCCCAGAACCCCAACGCTTAAAGAATAATGATAATTTTGACTTGAAAATTATTTTTCATCATGTCATAATATTTTATTATGTGACAATGATTAATAATTGTAACTACAAAAAGAATTAGTGAAGATGTAACCGT